CATGCCGGCCGATGTCGCCGCCAGAGAGGTGAGAGGAAGCGTGCTTTTCGTTCTGCTGGTTGATTTTTCTCCCTCCCTAGGCCGAGAAAGCGAGCGTGCGTTTCGAGGTATGTATGTAGGAGGAAAGCAGCCTGCACCGCTGCCGCTTCCCCAAGTCATGTCGGCGGGGCAACGCGACAGCAAGTGTCGGGTTGCTGAAAAAGTGTTGTATTTTCGGGTTTGCGGTTGGTGGTAGCGTTGGCGTTGGCGTTTTATTCTCTTCGAGCGGTGCAGTAAATGACTGCATGTGTTGTGTGTTGGAGCGAAACGCATCGCAGAATATTCCTCGCGCACCGCCGCGGCGGACCGCAATCCAAGCTCTCTCTGTCGGCACACACACACTAAAAAAAAAACATGCGTTCACGGACCAGGTGAGAGCCGCAGCGAGAGCCATGGCAAAGCTCGCGACGGCCGTGCTGGCTACGTTGAGGACGGGTTCGGAGGTGGACTATGCGTCGGTCAAGGCGGAGGTCGGCGCCGAGGCGCAGAGGCTCAGGGACCTGGCGGACGGGCACGGTCGGGAACTCGCCGCTCTCTCCCGACGGGTGGAGGCGGCGGTAGGGCAGATGGAGGCCTGGCAGCAGAGGAAGGCGGGGGCGCCGGAGTTCGCGGCGGAGGAGGCGGCGCGGGAGGAGGCCTGGAGCGAGGCGAACCGAGAGGCGAACTCCCGCGCCCTGCGGGAGATGCGCGCGCTGATTCCAGAAGCGGTGTGGGACATGAACGCCGGCGACATCCAGGCTGCTGCTGCTGCTGCCGCTGCTGCTGCTCAAGCGCCTGCGCAGGCGGGGGCGTCGGTGGACGGTGGGAGGGGTGCTACCCGTGTGGGCGGCGTGTTCTACCCGTCGGACCTGTGCGTCCGTCTCAAGGAGTGCCGGCCCCTGCACTGGCTGGTTAGCGCCCCGGAGGACATCGCCGGCGCCAACTTCCTGGCCGGGGAGGGGGCCGCGGCGTTCACCCAGCTGGAAGGGATGGACCTGACGGAGATGCGGGCGGTGTGGAGCGTCCTGCCCCGAGAGTTCCTGAGGGACGGCGACGGCAAGAAGGCGGAGTGGCGGGCCAGGTTCAGGGTCCAGCTTGAGGGGCTGGCTCGGCAGCAGGATGGGGCCATCGTGACCGCCGGGTGGGTGTGGACGGTCTAGACTGCTCCTGCACAGTGTTCGTTCGTGGTGTCAGCCTGGGGGCATGGTAGATGTCGTAGATATCGTTTTGGTTGTCCTCTGGGTGGTGGACGTTAGGCGGTAGGCATCTTGCGCAAACTCTCGTATTGTTGTCGGTGCTGGGCGAGGGGGGGGCTTGTCTCTGCATGCTGCCGTTGGGTCGGCGTGATCGTCCAAGATTAGTACGGGAGAAACTGCCCGTGTCGATATAACCACGCGGCTGCTTGTCGTACTCCAACCGATACTCGGGCACCACATCTTACAAGGCGGCCAACGGCGCTGCATAGAATGGTAAACTCTCAAGAACTCGGAGTACTCGAAACGCGTCGACTCTCCCCTTCGCGCCCTCCCATTTTGTGAACCCCACCACTAACATACCCTTTTGGGTGGCCGGACGAAAAAACTGTACGCAGGTGGGACCCCGTGCGCCGGCGACGGGCAACCGCCCGCATGCCCCCTCTCCCGGCGCACCGAGCTCGCAACCCGGCCTACTTCTACCCCTCGGTGGAGGCAATGGCGTCTCGCGTGGCCCGGCTGCGGGAGCAGCGCCGGCGGCTGGACGCCCGCAAGCGGCGGCTGTCGGAGCTGGAGGCGGAGCTCGGCGAGGCCAAGGCCGAGGTGGACTCGGCCTGCGCGGACGCGAGGTCCGGCGAGCTCCGCGAGCGGTACGGGGCGGACACCCTCCGGGGGGCCCGCGAGGCCGCGAAGGAGGCGCACTCGGTCCTCGTGCGGGAGAAGAGGCGCCTCCTGGCGAGCGTGGCGGAGGCCGAGAAGATGGTGAGCATGCGCGCGCGCGCGCGTGTACGCGGAGAGCAAGCGAGAACAAGAGGAAGGGGTTCGTTCGTTCATGTGTGTTTTCGCGTGATATGCGTACATAGGGGAGGCAATATTGATTGTGTTCATGAGCCGCTGGTATTCGATATGCGCCAGGGGGACTGTGGGCGGCATCGGGATCTTCTTTTAGTGAACAAACTGGTGCGAACTCCGGCCCTGCTGCCCTTGTACCCCCCCCCGTCCCCCCGTCCCCCTAATTTTTTTTTGTTTTGATTTTCCACCCGCCTTTCGCAGCTCTCTTCGGCGTATCCACCCCTGACCCAGCTGGAGGCGGAGGCGGAGTCGATTGCCGGGATTCTTGACCGCGCTGCGACCGCCGACGCCGACAACAACGAAAAAACGCCCTCGAAGGGTGGCGAGATTGCGGCCACGATTCCCGACTCCACCTCCGCCTCCGCTCCGATTGACCGGCCAGGCGTTGCCGCGACAGCGACGGTGGGAGCCGTCCGGGTGCCGGGAGCCTTCAGCGCGGAGCCCGAGCTCCGTCGAAGGGCCGTCGCGGCCGCGAGGAAGCTCACTCCGGAGGAAGAGCGTCGCCTCAGGACCGGCGAGGTCCAGCGCGCGGTGTCGGCCAGGGACGTTGCCGGAGGCGTGGGCGGCGGGCAGGCAACGACATCCGGAGCCGCTGCCGCCGTCGCAGAACCATCACCGGCCACCGGAGGCGGCGGCGTTGCCGGGACAGGTGCGGCGGCGGCCCTGTCGCTCGACCCTGTCGCCGCTGCTGTCGAGCGGTCCGGGTCAGCGGCGTGTTGTCCACCACTTGAGGTTCAACCAACCGCGGGTGAGCCGGCGGCGAGAAAGATGGGATCGTCTCTGGCGTTGGCCGGTGGATGCGACAGCCATGCCCCTCCGCCGCCTCGCCGGCCGGTGAAGGTCGCGCCGGCGGTGCTCGCGCTCCTCACCAAGCAGCACAGCGCCCGCACGATTGCTGCCGCAGGAGCTGGAGAGTCTGCGGAGGCCAGGCCGAAGGGAAAAGGGTCAGCGGCACCAGGACCGTTCGCTGTGGCGGCGGCGGCGGCGGCGGGGCCGGAATGTCCGTCTGCTGAAACCTCTTCGGCGGGGGCGGGGGCGGCGGCAGTGGCAGTGCCGGTCGCTCCATCTGCGAAGCCGATGTCGAAGACCCTGGCAGCCCTGCTCGCACGGAGGGCTGACAGACCACCGCCGTCCGGCCCTGCCGGGGGCGGCGGCTGCGACGGCGACGAAAACGAGGCGCGCAAGAAGGCGACCTCTCCACCGCTTGGGTTCTTGGGCGAGCTGAAGGCGAGGGCGGCGGCGGCGGCGGCGAAGGGCGCGGGGGCGGGCCCTGAGCGGGAGGGGAAGGCAGCCTTGCCTACGGGAGGCTCTTTCTTGGACGAGCTGAAGGCCAGGACGGCAAGGATTTCCTGAGCCACCCGAGCGCACATGGGGGTCAAGCGCCCGCGGGGTTTCCAGTCCCTTGAGGCCTATTTAGTTATTTTGAGGTTATTCCTTTCGGGTTGTTTTTTCATTATTTCTATTTATTCCTTTACGGCCACGGAGGTCGCCTGTACTCGTTCGAGTACGCAGTGTCAGCTTCGGTGCTTTTCATATCTGCTATCCTTTTGCCGCGAGCTCATAGAAAAGGTGTTTTCGGGATTACAGCCGGAAATCACCGGGCCAGGAGCCAAGCGGCGCAGGGGTGGGGGTGAGGGTGGGGAGGGGGTGTTCCCTCCCTCTAGATAGATGCCCAGACGTATCATGGTTTCGGGTCACAGCAGCAAGTGACTGCGTCGGTGTGGCCTAGGTTTGTCTACCAGGCTGGTTGTAAGTATTTTGTTACCGATACACGTCGGTGGAAAGTGATGTAGAAGTGGTATTCTCCAGCAGAGGCTTCGATGCAAGGATGCAAGACCAACGGCATGGTTCGTTCATGGGAAAGGGAAAGGGGGACGCGTTCGTGTTGACTTGGGGTCGAACGAAACGTTAGGTTTTTTCATTGTCTGGCTGCGAAACGGGTATGTCGGACGCCGGTATTGCGAGCCTTTTTATCCACGTTGAGGGCACGCACCAGCCGGTATTGAGGTTGACAGTAGTAGTGGGAGACGGGGTATTTACAAAACATTGAAGTCAGAAGTGCTTAAATAGTTGGAGTACCAGCACTGCTGTGGCGACGCGCCACCAAATAACACATAACGTACACACTGTATCTCTTCAGAAGATTGTCTACACGTAACCATGCAAGGAAGGAAAGGTCAAAACGCCATGGAGCGTAACATATAAGCAGACTACCGTAGAGGGGGCTAACGTGAGCTGAAACAGACGTCATGCCCCCAGTCTCTTAGCCCATCTCCTGTTTGGGAAACAACACCAGCAAAAACCTCCTCCTGCTGCTGCTGCTCGAACGCGGCTTGGTCACTTCTTCTGCCACGGCCCAGTCTGGGGTGCCTCTCGGCCCAGAGGTCCCTCGCCGTCCCCAGACATCGACGAAACCACTGCCGCAGCTTCCGCCGACAATCCCTTCACCTCCTTCTCCCGTTCTCCACCGCTGCTGCTGCCTGCGTCTCGTCTGCCAGCCTCGCCCGCAACAATCGACCGAACGGCGGCTTCCCCCAATCCCCCGAACGCCAACAACGCCGCCTTCTCGCCGCCATCGCGGCTATCGCCGCCGCCGCCGCCGCCGCTCAACAACGTCTCGAGGACGGGCTGGACGTGCTCCGGTCTCAGGCTCGTGCGGTAGAGCGGGGCTACGTTCTTGTCGAGCAGTCGCTCGTCTAGCCACTCGACGATGTCCTCCGGGGACGGCGCGGCGCCGGGATTCGTCCCCGCTCTTCTTCTGCCGGTGTCGCTGCTGTCTTGTTCCCCCGCTCCCAGCACGAAGCCGGCGACGCGCTGGTACTTGAGCAGCACGGCGCAGGCCCGGTCGTTGTAGTCGTCAGAGTAGACCTTTTCGCGGCCGCCGCCGCCGCCGCCGCCGTCGCTACCGCTGCCGCTGCCATCGTTGGCAGACGGACGAGTACCGCTGTCGCCTCCAGCATCATCACCCCCGCCCGTCCGGTCAGGGTTATCGGCACCGGCCGCGGTTTGGCGGCGGGCGCGGTTGCGGCGGTGGTAGGCGGGGTCCATGTAGGCGTCTTCCTGGCGTCGTAGCTCGGCAATCTGCGAGGGGAAAAAGGTGCGCATGGGGGGGGGATCGGGGCGTAAGAACACGCCAAGGGAAAATCGACTACTCTTGGCGTGGTGGCACGAAACAGCGACTTTTTCTCTCGCGGGCCCAGGTATCATATCGCCAAATAATGAGAGCAGCGTAGCCATAACAAAATTGCACGAGCTAGTCCGGGAATGGTCGGCGGGGGAGGCGGCGAGAATTGCATAGGCGCAACGAAACATAGGCAGAGGGTCAGAGAAGGGAAATAGACGCAGTGTTGTAAGGCATGTCTTCACATCCTATCTGTGCTTCTAGTGCAGCAGAGAATCGGGGTCATACTTGTGTCGCCTTATTCTCCCTGAATAGTGTCGCTGTTAACCCCGACTGCCTTTTCTCCTCTCTGCGGCGGTCCCTTCCCAAAACTTCTCCGCCCAACTCTTCTGCCCAGATATGTGTAGACGGCCAACGAACCGAGGGCTGTGCATGCGGGCTAAACTTTCGGCACTACAACATCACAAGCGCACGCATTCTACGGAGGGCGTCAAAATATAGCAAAATGCGCATCATATGTCCCGCGGGCGGTTGCACCATTCTACTGCCGTTGTGCGATGCTCGCTGCCGGTGTGCCTGTTCCTACTGTCGACCCCTTGCCTGGGCTCCCAGCACTCGAGGGAAGAGGCGGGCAAGGCAGTGGGCGTAGGGGGCGTTGCTGGTTACCGCCACGGCCGACGCCAGCTGGTGCAGGAAACCCCATTCCGTGCGAGACGCGACCAGGCCGCGGATAACGCCTGCACGTTGCCCACAAACAGCCGCCGTGGTGGAAAGGCGAGTATCCTCAGTTCGTGTTGTGTACGCGACAGGTTCGACTTTCACGGTCGACCAGAGGGGAAAACAGAATGGCCCAATCCTGTTCCTTGTGGCCAAAGTAAAGGCAAGCGCCGCAGAAGAAGGGCGGAAGAAACAAAAAGAACAAACAAACGTCCTGCGTGGTCTCCTTCCTGTGCGACCCCGGCGGGTGCGTCCGAAGACGTATTCCGAAAGGTGTCCGAAAACACTCCACATCCCGAATCAACAGGATGACAACACAACAGGCGCGCACCCAAACAGGAATGGCTACGATACGACAGCAGTAAGAAGCCCTGGCAGCAACATACAAAAAAAGGGCGCCATCGCAAGGGGAATCTGTATCCCACACGCGCGTACGTATCACCTGCAAACGCGATGTCTTCCCGTTCTTGGTACAGCGGTCCGCGGAAACCCAGATCCCTCGACAGGCATCTGGACACCCGCTCGATGCCCTGGTGGCTGCGCGCACAACGTGCATGCATCGTGTGTGGTTGGTTGTGTCTGTATGCACGCCGTAGGTCTCATGGGTAATTCACGAATCGATCAAATGGTACTACATCCTCACCCCAATAGCACGCCAGAAAACAGCCAAGCGTTGGAGGTGAACATAAGGCAGGACCATGAACAAGGTCCTTCCGTGTTGGGAACGAATGATCCGCTTTCAGCGGGCCCAATGGCAAACCGATGAGGCACCAAACCTGTACCCTCACCTCATGAGATCAGGCACGAAGCCCCTCCCCGCCACATAGCTCTCCAGACAACCCGCGAGGGCAACGAAGGCGCCGGGCCACGTGATCTCGAGAGGGACTCTCATCATCAGGCGGGGCTCCACGATCGCCATGAAGGGCGCGGGCATCGCCGCCGCGCTGTCATGGAAACCCACGGTGACCTGGTTTGAGAAGGGCAACAAAAAACATAAAATTAAGTGCGCGCGAGCAACGGAAGCAGATGGTCGGCGGGCGCAGAGAGTCGCGAAAATGCGGAAACGAGTTGACCCAACAAGAAAAAAGTGGAAACGCAAAAACAAGGATGAAACGTGAAGCCGCGACAGTGCACCACGGGAACAAAATTCACCAGAGTGAAGGACATTGCTCTTCAGAGGGTGAATGAAGGTCGGTGTCAGTGGTTAAAACATTATCGTGGACGGATGCTATAATAGTGGATAGTACGGGAGGTTTGCGAAATCATGACAGCCAACGCAGTTGGGAGCGGGGCGCTACCGGCACGAACCAAACAACCAACTCCAGGGATCGAGAAAACGTACTGGGGCTGCTGTGCGGTGACAAACCTGCAAATACATTTGTATGTAGTCTACAGCAAGACTCTTTTGTCACACTCATGAACACGAGCAAATTCCAGGCAAGAACAGCCCATGCCACAACCGGCGGATGTCACAGGCAGTTCTGGCGCCCATTGGACAAGGGCCTACACGCTTCTAAACCCGCTCTGTATCGAGACTGATGCCGCAGCAAGTCGCAAAACACCCAAGTGCTCCACCCCCGCTGCCCCCACCGCCGCTGCCGTATCGCCACACATGAAATCCCCGACAATGCCTCCTACCTTCACAGGCTCCAAGGGGTCGTGATCATCCATGATGGTCGCGACGGGGGTGACCTCGGATCCTATCCCGGCTACGAGCGGGATCGCCACAAGGGGCACGGGCCCCAGCAAAGGCGCTAATCCCGTCGCTTCCGCCTCAGCCCCGACCCCGGCCTCTCCCCCATGCTCTGGTGCGGTTGTCTCCCTGCCAGAACAAACGCCAACCAGCGCACGCAAGCCGCGAAAGGTGTGTAGGGTTTGTGAACATGTCCATGAGTGTCAATGTGATTGGTTGCGAGATTCGGTCCTGCTGCTGTGCATGACACTGCCCCAACTGCCCCAAAGAGGTAGGGGGGGGGAGAGCAGCTAGTAGAGAGCGACTACCCTTAAGGTTCTGAAGAAACGACGGTTTTGACATATCTAATCCATTCCCCGCAAATGTTCTATGTATCCATGATAGGATAGAGTCCCAATTACTGCCAGCAGCGCCATCAAACAAAGGAGCGGTGATACTGATCCCAAAGAACCAACATAGCGATATTTGTAGCGACAAACCCATACACCAGTACTGCAATGCGGTCTACGGTACTAGTAGCCGACAGACATCGCGGTTTCCCTCCTACCCATCCCACCACCAGCACCACAACAACACGACCCTCCCCACAGTGCAACAACTTACACGTAGCACCACCGGCAAACAATAATTCCATGTGCTCATAGATGTTCCATGTGCTTCATAGATAGCGCACGCGTACGTACCTCGGCTCGCTGGCAGCCGCTAAGAGTCGCCCGGCGGCCTTCGCGCTGTCCTTGTCTGCGTAGGCGATGGCCGCGATAGCCTTGCCGGCGTCGATCACCGCCGCGCCGCCCATCGCCACGACGCAGTCCGCGCGGTGTTCGAGCGCCAGCTTCGCCCCTGCGAGGGAAGGACCGCGAGACAGAAAAAATTAACGGGAGTGCTGTTTCTGAGAGAGACACAGAGAGAGAGAGACAGAGAGAGAGAGACAGAGAGAGAGGAACATTGCAAGGGGAGGAACAGAGCAAGACCGACCGGCCCCACCTACTGTGCAACTGTGCATTGTGGAGCGCAGCACAATCTAGACCACTACACCATCTCTCTCACAGATTATGCCACAACCACACGCCTCCACTCGCTCTACAACAGCACAACCACCAGCCGCCCACCGCAGTCCACAACCCAACTCCAACTCTTCTTGGTCGGGAATACCCAACCAAAGCTCCCTGCCCCTGGTCCAGAAGCTAGCGCCTCACCCTCAGCGACGTCGGACAGAGAAGGCTCAGAGGAAACAGAGTGCCACTTGAGATCGAACCCTCTTGGCAAGAGCTCCCAAACCACGGGGTCGGCGCGGGCCTGGTTCCATCCCGTCACGATCATCGCACTGGACGTTTGCGGGCGAGAGGAGACGTGGGGCGATGCGTGAAGGGTCAACAAACAACGAGTACACTGCAGTATGTAGAGCGCGTGAGAGAAAGAGAGATATGGAAATATAGATGGAGACATAAAGATAGATAGTTAGATAGATAGAGAGAGACATAGAGATAGATAGAGAGAGATAGAGAGAGATAGATAGAGAGAGTGCAGGAGCGAGCGACGACGACCATATTGTAAACGTGGACGTGTAGCACACACAGCAGACGTTAGCTGAAACGCCTCTGACGCCCCTACACACAGAGTAACAACGTCTTTACGTCCATCAAACACACGTACACGGTGGTATATTTCCAATGAACTCTGGTGTCTTCATCCCGCCTAGTCTTTCCCCCCCCGAAAGCATACGCTTGGAGAGTGGTTTCACGACGGCTTAGGCTCGCGCACCGCACCAGCTTGGTAACCCTGGTCTCAACAGGGGCGGCCCAACGGTACGCCCGCCTGCTGCGTGTCCACGTGCGGACAATCGCTTCACGGGTGCCACCGTTTGGCGTTCGACAAGACCGAACCCGAGAGCACGTGGCGATTCCTGCTGATGTCATGAAACTGCTGCGGCAGCGGGTGTCATCAGTACTGCTACATATCTAGCGCGAGCGGGTGGCTGTGTGGTTCGCCGGCAGGGCCAACGAAAGCTTTCTTCAGCGTACCGTTGGAGGCCGAGGTCGTACAGCTCGACGAGACCGATCTCGAGAGCGTTCACGCCGAACACGACGCGGGTGTCGGCGGAGAAGAAATGGTGCGCCGCCCCCGCCCCGGCCGCCTCCGCGCCGACGGTGACGCCGTACTGGAGGGCGCTGTTGTCCCCGTAGTCCTTTTCCTTGGCAGGGTTGGCCAAGCTCTCGAGGTCTTTTCTCGCGGAAAAGGAACGGCGCAACCGGATTGGCGTACAATGAGGAGAGGGAATACTCAAGCGAAACGTACTGAGAGGTATGAAGGGAAATGGTGGACGATGTGTACAGAGAAATAATGTAGCAGCAGCCACAACGACACAGACGGCAAGAGAGAGAGAGAGAGAGAGAGAGAGAGAGAGAGAGAGAGGATTCGACTGGGGCATTGGGGATTGTACCGAAGAGGAGTGAGAACAAGTCCTCTACTACCTTGGGGTGCGGTAAACACACGTGCACAACAGCACAGGCGACAAATTTGAGCCGTGGAGACAGTGCACCACATCAGGCCTATTGTATGTGCATTGCGCAAACGAAAACCCACCGACAACAATATACGTCGCGGTCACTGCACATCCTTCCACGCTCTGGTGCTAAAAAAATTGGGGTTCCGCACCGGCAATGCCCTCGTCTCCCTCGGGTAGTCCCGGCACTGCTTGCTGGTGAAGCCTCGACACCGAACAATACCGCCCCCTCCCCCGCTTGGGTGCTGTGCAACGTCTTCCTGTTTCTCCTCCACTCTGCTCCACTCCTCCACGCCATTCTCTTCCCTTCGGCAAGAAAACCGTCGAGGCCCTATTCGGCCTAGCAGCATCCCAGCGTCCTGTTGCTGCTGATGATGTTGCTGCTGCCACGACCATTCGATAGGCATTTCGTCGCAGTAGGGCGGCAGGGTAGAGGCGGACGAGCAAGACAATGGGAGAGAGAGAGAGCGCTGTCTCGGATTTGGAGCGTTCTGGGTCAATGATGACAGGATTGCACACGTTGTGAAGAGAGCCCGTTCCAGAGTTCTCTGTTGGTGTATTTGTACAGCGTCTCCTTACTCCTTTACAGTTTGGCTGGTCTATGCAAGGATCTCCGCTTTATTCTAGAGTATCTTGTTGAAGTCGTGCACAACGTTTGTTGCAGCGGGCACCTGAAACAACAGCAAAAAAACACTGCTGTACTGCGCACGTTACATTGCGACTTCAGCAAATGCACGCTTGCCGACCTGTCAATCCCCAGCTCGCAGCTCCTCTCCCCTGCTGGCCGCTTCTTCCGCCTACGAAGGGAGCGCAAGCGCCACATGTTCCCGATTTCGAGGCCACCTCTTGATGTCTTGAAACCACCCTCCTCGCCGGAGCCCGGAACGGCTCCGCCGGGCGAAGCCAAACCGCACAGAGTGCAACGTATAGAGTAAGTGACGCGCGTGCTCTTTCCATCCCTCCAGGTCGACAGGTGCGTGAGGTTGTGTTCCAGTGCGTGCGGGCTGTGCGGGCTTGCGGAGCAGTCATGGAGTTCAAAAGGTTCTACGTTGGCGGTTTCGAGGTGCCGGGCTGATAGCGACAGTCCAGTGTTCAGCGGCCGGCCGATGTACGCGCAGTCTTGTGCTTTGTGCCGTTGTGCCGTTGTGCCGTTAGTACCGAGGGTGCCAGGTGTGCCGACTCGAACTGTCTCTTTGCTGATGCCGAACACGCCCCAGGAGCGTCTGGATAGAATCACAAACCACCTGGCCGCTGGATACTCTTCGCCTCGAAGAACATCAGCAGCAGCAATGGCAGCAACGGCGAGGCCGCCAATCACGGCGCATGCCCTTGACACTTCAACAGGCAAACCAGCGTGCGGCCTGCCTCTCAAGCTCGAGCAGAAGTCTGGGGGCGGGAGGGGCGGGAGGTACTGGCTTCTTCTAGGGAGCTGTGAGACTAATGAGGATGGACGCGCTCCACGGCTCCTAGATGCGGGACATGTACGTGTATATATGAACTTTCCCACAATTCCCACAGCGAGGCTTATTTCATGTTGTCCTTGGTAAAGAAGCCCATATGCATGTGGCCGCGGAAGCAAACAAGAGAGTTTTGTAGTCGAAATCAAACCATTAGAGGCGTCAGCGCTGACTAAAACTAACGGCTTGATTTGCTTCAATAAAAGGTACACCGACACGTTCACTTCCGACGTTCACTTCCGAGGGTTATCGGTTGTGACTGTTATTATCGTTCCACGTCTGTTGGATGGTGCGCAGCTACCGCTGCGTGCAAACACGGCACATTGAGACTCGTCGATCTCTTGTATGCTATGGTACGGTACAAGCTTGCTCATTGGGGCTCCCTCGGCAGCAAAATTAGAACATGATTGAGTTCATGCCCGATCAGCGGGAGAGAGACGTAGGATTTTGGTAGTAGTAGCACCCTTCGCTGCTGTCCGCATAGCGCTTTGACAACCGCGTTGCTTGGATCCCAAACATATGCCACGGCCTCTTTGCAAGCACGTCGTTTTGGCCAACGAGCGTACCCCCGGCTGTTGTCTCTGTGCGTTCGTTCTCGGATGTTGTACTCGTAGCTTATCTAAAACCGTGTTGTTGGTGCTGATGCCACGTTGCTTGTGCATCCAGCACGAAAAGCTCCAGCCTCGCGCCAATTTCTACTTGCACCTTGAACCTGGGCTTTTTCTTCGAAGTATGCAACCACCTATACTTCGCCACTCTTCGACGGAAGTCGCTTCTTTCCTTTCCAGAAATCGTCGACAAAGTCTTCCCACGTCCATATTCTCGCACCATCCGCGTCAGTTTTCCACGGTTACATAGGTCTCTGTCGAGACACAGCAGAGGACAAACTATATATTCTCCACCGCAGCAGGAGTCAAAACCAGCACCACATATTGTGTGGTGTGATGGCCATTGAACGTCTTTTCCCTGTTTGCGTCTTTCAGAACCTGAGCAAGGCCACCTACCGCGTGACGTTCGACACCGAGGCCTACTTCGAGACGGTGGGGTCCCGCTGCTTTTACCCGGAGGTGGCGGTCGTGTTCCGCGTGGAGGAACCCGAGGAGCACTACCACATCCCCCTCCTTATCAGCCCCTTTGGCTACTCCACCTACCGAGGGAGCTAGTAGAAAACGTTTGTATTTTGTAGCCTCTTGTCATCCCGCCCCACTATATGTAATGGTCGTCGAAGTTTGCCGTTCTCACTGCACCTGTACAGTGGGCGTACGTATAAATAAGAGAGTGCGACCATACCGATGTTCTGGTACAGCAACGAGCCAGTCCAACCCACAACCGCGCCATCTCCTTTTAAAGCTGCCTCACCTACTGGCGGTGTGGCCAGAAGGACGACTGCCCCCAGCTGCAATGGTGGTTTTCACCGCAGCAAGGCGACTTGGTTGGATCTTGCGAGTCTGGGTTAACACATGCATAGTTTCGTGGAGCGTGGATGTTGTATAGAATAATTTACGGGTTGGACGCGTCTTTTCATATAGTATGTTGCGTCTTTAGCAAGCGGCTTTCTGGTGGCGAAAGCCATGTATTCTTCAATGTTGACTTCGAAGCACGCGCGCCCGTGCAGTTTTTTTGGGGGGGTGGGTTGCCGCTGCTGCACAGCCGATTTCAAGTCGGAAGCATTTGAGTGAAAGGTCGTATTCAGTGGTGTGCGCAGAATTTGGGTTTGGACGTACGAGTCATCTACCTGAGGTAGGTTTGGTTTGTACGATAGCTTGCAAATACGCTGCCACCCACCCTCTCCTGTTCCTTGAAAATGTTTTGATCTTCAGGGTTTGTTTGATTTTTCCATGGGCGTGACTGTGTTTTGTTCTGTTTTGGGCATTTTTTCTATTTTCAGTTTTGGAGAGGCGATAGTATCAGAAAACCAGAGGGAAATTTTATTCAGGATCACAAACTGCAAGACCAATAATTATCATTTCCGTGCACGTGCAGGCAATATATATTCGGGGGCTGTTGCCAAATGCCCCCAGTCATTGTCTTTTGCTATTTTTGCTGTGTTGGGCCTGCTGAGCAGTACTGTTCTGGTGCCGGTACACGAGGGTTTACACCGCAAGTGTCTGCCCGGGTACCGGCATTTCGCGTTCGTCTCTAGCATGGCTGATGCGACTTTTCCTTAGCACATAAGTGGTGGTACTCTGGCAGCCATCTGATGCAAAGAGCTACGATCTTACCAATGTTCTGGCACAGCGATGAGCCGGCCCCTCTCGGGTGCTCCACCTAGCTGGAGACGAGCAAGACGTGGCATTTTTGTGCGCACCTCGCAACCGCGCAATCTCTTTCTAAGGCTGCCTCGCCTACTGGCGGTGTGGCCAGAAGGACGACTGGCCCAGCTGCAGTGGCGGTCTTCACCGCAGCAGGGCGACTTGTTTGCATCTTGCGAGTCTGAGTTGAAATGTGCACAGTGTCGTGGAGCGCGGGTGTTGTATGGAATAGTTTACGAGTTGGACGCGTCTTTTGGTTGATATACAAAAAAACTTTTCTTTTAAAATTGTATAGCTAGCAAGCGGCTTTGTGGTGGCAAAATTATTGTTCAATGTTGGCTTCGAAGCACACGCGCCCTTGCAGGTTTTGGGGGGTGAGTTGTCACGGCTGCAGCCGATTTCAAGCCGTAAGAGTTGAGAGGAAGGTGGTGTTGTGTGCGCATGTTGGGTTTCAGCGTACAAGTCACCGACCTCTGATAGGTTTGGCAGAAATACTGTGAGCGCTGATTAACGACGACGAAAAATACAAGAACAATCGTATGTCTCTGATCCGTGCTCCCGCGGATGATGTATGTGATATTGAACGCTGTAGGATGTGCAACGGTTCAAGGGCGAGCCGAAATACAGCACCGCGAAGTACGCTGTAATCTCCTGCGCGAGGGCGAAGGCACACGAACGTTTGGCTCCACGGAGTGGTCGACTGTGTGCATATCTTCGTCTCGTCTGTCTGTTCGTGCTCTCTATATCAGATTGAGTGGACTTGGCGATGGTCGTCCGCCCCTGCTTACCGCGTTCTTCATGACAAAACCGTCGTCGCTACGCACCGTCCCACATGACAACGACGCCACCTTAATCAAGAGATCGAAAATCTCTTTGAGAATCAGCACGGTTGCCCGAGGCAAGCTGCGTTGTCACTTTTGCAACATTGTCCGGGGGAAATTTTGGCACTTGAGCCGTTGTCTTTCGCTTTTTTTAGGCCTGCCGAACAGGCCTTTTCTGTTGCGGAATGGCGAAGGTTTCCGCCTCCCTTTTCCCGTCATGCACAGCAACGTGTTTATTCGGGAGCCAGCACTTCGCGTTCGTCTCTACAGCTTGGCTCAGCTTTTCCTTAACACACACGTGGATATACTTTTGTGGCCACCTCATGAATTACTTGGTGGGCGCGTTTAGGGGGCGCTTTCTTAAGAGTTCCCATTTTCTGCGCGTTGAAGAAACCCGACATCACGGACGTCTTTGGTGGGACCGGCGTTGTTCAAGGCCTTGTGGGGATATTTTTATGCCATGTGCCCCAGGTCAGTAGGGCACATAAACAAGTACTTCGCGTGCGTCATTCTGTCCGAGAGTGTATGTATGTATGTATGTATGTATGTATCTCGGCATTGACGTGTTGCTGCGTGTCATGTTTGGTATGGTTTTATCAAGAGCTTGGAATGCGCCTCCACCCGAGCTCCAAAATACGCACCGCACGCCGAAAGATGTGTGCGTGTGTCCGCGTCATTCGCGTGTGAACTACGGTTCGGCACGTGTCGTGTGTGATTTCGGCAACTTCCACAAATCGAAAGCCTGAGGCCGAGTAGAACAACTGGCAAGGATAAAACAAAATGCACATGCACGCTCAAAAGCCATGAGAACTCTCGTGGTGTCAACTCGTACATGTTCAGTTGGCCAAATCAGCGCATCAGTCCGCACAAGAGTCATTACCGTTGCAACACTGCTATGCCCTTTTCTCCTTTTGGTAGACTAGATCCCACAAGGAATATACTCCGCTGACCTGCTGACCTTACCAACGGTAACCTGATTGGCTCTATCGGGCCGAGAAATCGTCCTCTGCACAGCTACATAGCATGGCTCTGTTTGCTATTAATGCACACATGCACATCCTACTCCGTCTTGTGATTGAGGTAGCCCTGGTACGTTGCTATTCTAAAGCCCTCGCCGGCCCCGCTGTAGCAATCAACCGAGGGGCTTGTGGCCCCGCTCAGCGCCCGTACGTTCTCCTCTTCTTCGCACATCGCCATCACCGCTTGCCCCACCTGCCATGGTTCCGTGTATTGTAGCGTTCGGGAGCAGGCGGGCGCATGGGGAAACACGTCGGCGTGTGTTTGACAAGGATCCACGGATAGAGGCAGGGGAAAGCACCTGTGTTGTCAAAGTACCGACCGACACGTTAACCACCCTTGCCGACGTGGAGTCAGGATTCGACGACCAATGCCAGGAGCAGTGACAATCGCGGTGCCCAGTGGCAAAGACGCACTCATCAAGCTACTATGAAGCCAATTATGTCAAGCTAAGTGTCGGCAATAGTAGGAGTAAACACTATTTAGTTGCAAGACAAGCCTCGACCTCCCTACTACGCCAATGCCGAGGTTTATTAAACCAGCACATTAGGGATGGATCTGCGCATCGCCGACTTGCTGCATAGCAACCGTGCCTCAAGTGCCCGGCTCGCGCCTCATAACTACAACGCGTACCTCTACGGTGTCCCCCTCCGCAACGAAAAGCTTCCCCACGAAGCCGCACTCTGCGAGCTCGACGACCATGTCGACCGTGCTCCCCTCCACCGGCGCGTCCCCTGGGGCGTAGAGCGAGTCCGTGCTGAGCTCCAAGATGGCGTCGTACTCGTTGATCTCGTCCCCTTCCGCCTTGAGCCACTTGGTCACGGTGGCTCGCGTCTGCGTTTCGTATTGGTTTTCGCAGGAAGAAGGCCCAGGCGTTGCAGGAGGCGGGAAAACAAATGAACTACTTACGGCGTATGCCACATTCCTACATCGGTTCTCGTGCTTTCATGGCACCGTAGTAGGAGAAAGCGAACAGAGACAAGAGAGAGAGTTCGGCGGATGTGCGCTTTAGGTCGGAATCCGCCCATGATGTTGTAGGAAGTAAGCAGTGGCAAGAAGAGCTGTAGGACGAGAGAGCCGAGCTGTGGTGTGGGGAACCGTGAGTCCATATTACAGTTGTGTGCCGCATATGTTTTCCCCCTACACACCCATGCACTCAGGCTCACCTGGAGCGAACGTGACGGGAATGCAATGCTGTGTGCTTCACCCGATAGGATCGACAGCAATGCAACGGGGACGCCATCTCGTGTTTAGAAAGGAAGCCCGAAAACGCATCACTCCATTTGTGTAGAGTAGTGTAGTTTTCGAGACGGGAACGTGTTCACGATGCGTAGGTATGAGTCGAGTACGCAGTGCGGCCTACATAACAAAGCACACGCAATGCTGACACACCGGAGACGTTACGCAGGCGATCAGAACATCGACGGGGTCGCTCCCTAGCGCACAACATCAAAGACGACGGATTCTCGCCCCCAGACGGGGTTTCATGAAATCCCACTGATGAGGGTCCACTAGAATCGGCGGAAAGAGAAAGATGGGTCTCGCCTTCCTTGTGTGGATTATGCTTCTCTACTACTGCGTCTACATGCCATGCAGACTACAGTCTATACCTGGAACGGCACTTCGAAAACGGTGTAAAACGGTACATTCAACTGCAGCAAGTTGCAGTTACAGACCAATGAAGTACAACCGATTTGCGATGGACACAACGGAACAGCAAATTCGCTCTCACCATGCTGGGGGAAAGCTTGGGCATCGGAAGGTACAGGACGTCGTCATCAGGAAGCGTGGTGGCACTGGAGGCTTGTCTTACAAACCGAGAACCCGCAGCAGTCCGCGGAGGCATTGCCGTTGCTGCAGAGATCACTATTCGCCGCAGCCGACAATGACGATTGGCAGCTACACTGGCAGCGCCACATATTCTCCCTGCAGCAGCATTCATCGCATAACTATGTGAAAGGAGGTCAAGAGGAAGAGAGCGAGAGAGCGCGGCAGCGTGTGGTGGTGTGTGCAGCACGGTTGGGCGATGGGATGTGTCATGTGATACACTTCCGAAATAGGCGGGAACGGGGCACCGCGGACGGAAAACGTGTACCCCTGCGAACCAGTTTCAAACACTCTGCTTGGCAGCGTGTAGCGTGCCTTGACCATGCTCTCTACTCGCACTGCTGCTACTGCTGCTGTTGCTGGGGATCCCATGGATGCCATGGACGACCACGATGATAATGATGGCGCAGGGTATGCGTGGGAGAAGGGCTTCGAGAGAACGTGGGAGGGAGTCGAGGAGGACGAGCACGGCAACATCAAGACGCGGGAGGAAGGACAGAGACGAAATCGTCGCGTGCGGCGACGAGTGGGGGGGTGAGGCAAGGCCTTCGATGTGGTTGGGATACTTCTGATTAGGTTGATCGCGCCGTGCAGAGATAGAAGTTATCAGGTTCTGAGTGCCGAAGTGCTTAGAACAACGTGCTTGTTTTCACTGATTGCATGTCGACTCGAAACAGCAGTCGGTAGGCATGATCTGCCGATCAATGCAAAAGTATGAACACCGCCACCGTCCACATCATTGGCTCCATCCGCCGTTCATATAAACGAGTTAACATGCAACACCCGTTAAACTCCACCGCGGGCATCGTGGACTCTTGATGGCGTAGAGTAGATGAATGAAGCTATTCGTTGTGCATTTGGCACTGTCGAATTGTGTGCGAAGATTAGCGGCGCAACTCGCGTGAATTCGTTGGTTTTCGCGCGGGGACAGCGGTAACGCGGCTGTCTTAACGCGGCTGTCTTGGAATGAATCCATTGCTTACCCTGGACTCTCATCTGTGGATGGAGCTAGATTCGCTGTGTGGCGCTGTAAGAAATAAAACACTAAAACTAAATGCAATCTTCATGATCATTGAAAGTCTACCCGTTCGAGCCAGTACCACAGGAGGGGTGCGTTGAATGTCGTCAACTATGCAGTGCGCCGGGAAGAAAGACTGCTATTAGATGCTGAGCTAATGTGAGTCTGTTGAAGCCCACAAGCTGGCTGTTTGTTTCAAATGGTTTGCTCCACACTCGAGAACTGGTTCTGCTCGACGTGGGTTGCACGCTACTCGTGGGCATAAATAATCGCAAAGCCTCTTTCCGCTAGATGGCCACATACATTTCGTCGAAGGCGGTCAGAATCTTCTGGACTGCTGCGCCCTTTCAACAGAACCACGTCTGCGGATTTCAAGTCACTCAAACGTCGCGTGTATGCACGCAACAGCAGCAGCAGCACTGCTGTTGTCGCTGAAATTGCATCAACGGCCACCGTTGACGAGATTGGCCCCCCCTGGGTGATTTTTGAAAACGCCGCCGACCCCAGGGAGTCCATCAAGCGGGGGATGATCCGCTACCTCTACCTGGCCATCGACCTGTCGAAGACCATGGCGGACGGAGACATGCGGCCGAGCAGGCTGGCGGTGACTCTCCGCATCGTGCAGGACTTCGTGACCAACTACTTCGACCAGAACCCTCTCAGCCAGCTCGGCATTCTCGTCACTCGGTACGCGGAGCTGCATGCTTGTACGACAAATACTTTCTGGGTTGGCGAACCGCCGCTTGGTGTGGTGGTTGTTTTTGTTGTTTTCTCCACAAAACAAAGCGGTATTGGCATGCTCTTTTCCCTGCTTGTTTGATCGTCGATGAATCCTGTCGACAGGTTTCTCTCGCGCTCGATCTTTTCTTTTATTTTCTGCAGAAGGTTCCTAAGCGCTTTCTGTCACCAGCCAATCCTCTTGAGAAGCTTGGCCCTACTTGCTCTTGTTGCCGTAGTGGCTGTCACCCGCCAATCCTCTTGAGAATCTTAGAGCTACTTGCTCTTATTACCGTAAAGGTTGACGAAACGAACCATGCCGACAAGTTGTATTGCCTCCCCTCTGCATCCTTTTCTGCCGCAAACCCTCTCGGCTCTCGCTCGCGGGCACTCGCGTCCCACATGCTTTTGGGATGCCGCTCACACAGCGAGGGCCGAGCGGAGAAAATAACGGAGCTTTCGGGCAACCCCAAGGCGCACATGGAGGCGCTAACGAAGGACTCGGACACAAAGGTGGGGTGTTGAGATCATGGGAAGGGACGGTCGGTACGGTACGGTAGGGTGGGATGCACGGGTTGATGCGTCCGATACCGAACGGTGTGGCACGAACGGTTGCATGCATGAACGTTTTTTCTTTGCTATGAGTACATAGCGCGAGCCATTCTCTTTTTTGGTTTGTTTGGAGCGGCCCAAAGTGCGAGCATAGATCTGTCCCATTCGTAGATGGTTGTTTCTTGTAAATTGTACATGCGGGTATATGTCGTGTTTGGTGTTTCAAACTCTTGAGGGAGCACCTTCGCCGAGATATCGAATCTGCGTCTCTTACAGTCCTCACCATGGACTCTCCCGCACCGCTTGCCAATGGCATCAACCTCTCCCTACCGGTTGCGGGTGGTCGTCCCCCTTCACTCGTGTTGCGTTTTGTAATGTCGTGGCATTAGACGGAGCAAAAGATCCCGTCCGATCAGTATCGCTCATGATGCCTTCGTTCAAGGACGAAGCCTAAACCATTTCCCCCTTTCCCAGATTTCCAAGCTGCTCGGCCCACTGGGGGGTCGTGTTGCCACTCACAGCGAGGAACGTGCGTGTGGTTGGGGATCATCCCGCACCTAGACCTCGGTAGACCTTCCTCCATCCTTGCTCCTTACCGACCACCTTCGTCGCAGCGTCGTTTGCGCCTCCCTGGCGGCGGAATCATTTTCCAATGCTTGTCATCTCTTCCCCTTCCCGGTGTGGCTGCTTTCTGCGTCGTGCGCGTTCAGGGCGAAGCTTCCCTCCAAAACTTGCTCGAGATGGCGTGTACGTCGCTTCGAGCTGTGCCGGAGTACGGCAACCGAGAGGTAACACAACAACGATCTAGTCCGCTAAGTATCTCTACGTACATCCAACACAGACCCGTTGACGCCAAGCGTTCCAAACAGAGGAGTCGAGAGAGCACGACGGCCGAGTTTTTTGGTTTGGGGAAACCCCCCCGTGTTGACGCGACCAAGAAAAACGCGCGTTCGGGAGTTCCAAAGGGGTCTTGGGGCGATCTGCTGTGACCGAAAATTGCGATTCGCGTGATTGAATTCAAGAGTGCACCCCATCTTCTGGTCAGACACCCTTGGCTTTGCCCCCCTCGGTTGCAGCAACGGCGCAATGGCAATCACGCTGCCTGGCTCTCGCCGGGGTAGGGTTTCAGCCACACTTCGTGGGGTGTTGGTGGTTGGTATGGTGCTCAGCAAGGCGCCGACCGTGGTATTACGCAGCCGCTCGAACGTTGCCGGACTTCTTTCACCATTTCCGTTTTTTTTTTCGTTTCTGCAGCCGTGGGCCCCGGGTGCCTCCCCGCCACCGTTTCCTGCCCCTCAAATCAAGCATACCGTGCCCTCTCCCACTTCTTGTGTGCGTGCACTACTACCGTACGAATTATATGTCGCGCGATGGGCCGAAAAAGGTGGTCGTTATATACAGCAGCTTGAGCACCTGCGACCCAGGGGACATCCACGAGACGATCGCCAAGCTCAAGACACACAAAGTGCGGGCCTCGGTCGTTGGACTAGGGGCGGAGATGGTGAGGGAGGGAGTGACCTCTGGGGTGGGGGGGGTGGGGGGGGTGTACTCATAGTCGTGCATGCTGTAGTCGTTAGACGATCGCCTTCGCACCTCTGGGGTGTGGGAGTTGAAAATGGAGGGGTTGAAGGTTAGAGAGAGAGATAAGAAGAAAGAGAGAGGGGGAGGGAGAGAGAGAGAGAGAGAGAGAGAGAGAGAGAGAGAGAGAGAGAGAGAGAGAGAACTGACCGTTTGTTTGTGTCGATGGAGAACAGCCAATCAGCCGCGTCTTTGTTGCGCGTTTGGAACATCTTTGGGTAAGGTATCGCAGTCCTTTTGTCGGGGTTTACCGCCTTCTTTGACTCGTCAGCCTGTTCGGTCTGTCTGTTCGGCGGTTTGCATCAATTTTCCCAGCGGTCGACGACTCTTTGGTGCTATTGGTGCTGTTGGTGGTTGTTGTGTTGTTGTTGCCGTTCGGTCTCTGTCTGTGTGGTGGTCTGCATCAATTTTTACCCCATGGTCGGCGACTTTTGTTGTTGTTGTCGTCATCGTTTTGTTTACAGTTCGTCCTCCGACGGCTGACGGAGGAGACGAGCGGGGACTACAGCATCGCCGGGGACGAGAACCACTACCGGGAGTCGCTCATGGCGCAATGCACGCCGCCGCCAACGCCGCCGGGCCGGGAGGGGGCCATGTTCGCGGACCTTGTGAGAATGGGATTTCCGGCGGAGACCCAGGTAGGTGGGGCGTAGATAACGTACACGTCCAAAGCTATTTTGTCGTACGAAAATCGCGAAGAGAAAGTGCACGTCTACGTTTTTATTAATAGTACCTTGAGGGCAGGTCGAACAATGGTCGACGCTGTATGCGGGCATTAAGAGTGCGCTCCAGACCTGTCGCAAGTGAGTCCGCATACGCGTTCGTGCCGGGTATTTTGTTGCCGACAATCCTCGAGGTATACTGGTGGTTGATTGATTCTGTGCTGTGGACGAGAAGGGGGGAGGGATGGGGAGGTGATGTTGGCGACACCTTAAACCTTTTTCGTCCGGGTCCCGTGTCATGGACGGAAGACCCCGTAAAGTGAGTGTGGATCTGCTGCTGCAAGCCCATCGGGAAGCTGGTGGATTCCCCTGGCCCACCCTCTAATCTCTTCCTGCATGACATCGGAAAGAGCACCGAGAACATGAGCCGTACTGCTGCTGCTGCTGCTGCTGCTGCTGGTATCGCTGCTGGTGTTGTTCTGGGACTTTTTTCGTCCAGCGGTACATGAGATTTTTTTTTTTCGGGATGTTGGTGGGGGAAAGGGTGCGAAATCGCACGCGCCGATTCACCAGCAACTGAACGACAAACTAAACCAAGCGGGACACCGAAGCATTCAAGCTTTCCGCAGACGTGCGTTTTTCTGACTTTGATTTTTTTCTTGTGGACCATACAGGACGTGTTTCCGAGCCTCGGCTACAGCGGGAACAGGCAGGAGCTGTCGGTTTCGGGCTACAGCTGCCCTCGATGCAAGACCAAGACGTCGGAGCTGCCGTCGGAGTGCGTAATCTGTGCGCTCCCTTTGGTGAGATGTCAGGCAGGGCCATAGCAGCTACGGTCGTAGTATGTGCACACGGTAGAGAATGCCGAGAGACAGATAAGAGGGAAGACGGCTTGCTGCATGAAGAGCAGGCGGAAAGACCGCAAGCCTGTATTGTGGTGCGACACTGAGAACAGCAGCCCTACACGTATGGCATGAGAGGCGAGTGGATGGTCTAAAGGACCTACGTGGGCAAAAGCATCGTCTGAGCACGCCCTCTCCCTGTGACATGAAGCACACGCGCCATCCCCACACGTTCTCTGTGTGGGTAGAAGTAACCCTCTCCCGTCTTCCACGAGACGAATGATCGATGCTCCAGTGCCTAAGGCATGCAATCCTTGACTGAGTCCCCCGCCTGCCTCTTTTCATCCCTTGCCATTATTGATCTCGTCCTCCTGTTTAGGTTTCGTCGCCTCACCTCGCGAGGTCGTACCACCATCTGTTTCCCGTGCCTCAGTTCGACGAAATTCCCGCCGCCGCCCCAGCGGCAGCAGCAGCAGCAGCCTCAGCTGGGTCTGCGGGCGGCATGGGGTCGGGGGCCGGGGCCGGGCGAGCGACGGAAGAAGAATCTGCTTCTTCTTCTTACTGTGCTGGGTGTTTGCGAGACTTGTCGGGGTTGCCGAGGTACCGGTGCCCCGAATGTAGGAGTGCGTTCTGTCTGGATTGTGACATGTATGTGCATGACTCGCTGCACAATTGCCCGGGTTGTTGCTGAGCACACTTTGGGTCGATTGGTACCTGGCATGCCAAGCTTCGAAATTGCGTCGCAAGGGTACCAAGCAGATAGATGCTGCTGGCGCGAGTGCCATGTGGAGTAGGTTTAGGCCCATGGACCCTTGTCGGAATGTATGCGAAAACACCGATGCCCACGCTATACTCGATGCTATCGACACGGCTCTACGGTTGCCACGGCCAGCTAGCCCCCCCCGCCCCCGCCCCCGGACCTGTTTGCTGCCACGAGTGATCGTGTGTTGAGTTGTCGGTGGTGTGGTCAGGGTGTTGATTTGTGGGGCAGAATTTTGGTGATGGTGTTGGTGGATTTTTGGCTCAGGCGGGCGTGCGGCGGGGGGTGGGGGGTGCGCTATTGTGTTTCTTTGATGGGCTATTGTGTTTCTTTCTCTGCAAGAGGTACGCTGGTGCAAGCAGCCAACACTCCCGTCTCGAACCTGTTTTCAGACCCCCCCGGGGGGTGTTTGTTGTGTCGCCCCGACCTTGGTTGGCTGTCATGCGCGAAAAAATGGGGGGGACGGATTTTGCTGAACCGGTAGGATCCAGAGCACTTGTGCAGAAGAAATGGACAGGAACGGAAGCAGGTTAATTTTTATTTCCGCTCTAACAACCGTCCCGGTTTTGCTGACTGAGCCTGTTTGATACCATCCCGGTTTCTGCTGAACACTGATCCTTGCTTGGTGTCCCTTACAGTACATAGATCCTTACGACCAAGAACGATTTCGCAATCGCACAACAACGAAAGGGGTCGGGCACAGCCTGTTTTTTTTTTCCGAGGCGGGACAGATCTGGCGAGACAAGCATATCCTGTTGTGGCGTTCGGAGATCCCGGAGTTCTGCTCTTCCTTGACCGCTCGAATCCCCTTCGCGTTTTCGTTGGTTGTCTCCGGTTGAAAGGTGTTGTTGGTTGGGTTGCCTGTGCAACATGTTGTGTTCCAAGAGGGCTCGCGGAGCCGAATCCTGGAAGCACTGCCCCAAACTGGATTAAGAACCAGTTGGGGGGGGGGGGGGGGGGGCTGTTCTCTACCGCATACGGTGTTTCAACTAGGACTTAGTATAGTATAGTAATACCTATACATCGTCTATTGTATAGGATTTAGTACGGATATGCATGTGTATAGGCATCATAACTATAAAGTACACAGCACAATAATATTAGTAGTAGTGGGCCCTGAATATAGTGACGGTTGAATAGTGCCACAATAAGCAGTCCGGTATAGTGCCGATCAAATCTCAGGACACATGATGATGAGTGTCCATCCACCGCCGCCGTGTATGAAACGGCACTAGTGCTGTGAGCGCTGATTTGAAGTGAAAAAAAATTATATATATACATCCATCCATCCCCCCTTTTCTGATTAGTGCCGGTGGCCCGGTATAGACCGGTACAACCTCTGGACACAACATACCGGCACTAGACAGGGCCCACTATAACAATACACTTCATGCATTACACACACACGCGTCTAACTAAGTATTGTTACGTATGTATTTCGTTTTTACACCATGTATGTTACTAAAGCCGATACAATAAGGAATATAAAGACTTTCCTATACCATATTAAATCCTATACAATAAGCGAATTGAACAAACTGGCTTAAATTGCTCGAATTGCTCGAAAAAATGGGGGTAAAGGGGGGGGGGGGGGGGCTTTTTT